ATTTAATTGTTATAAGCATTTTGAAAAATCCTGCATCAGTCTAATCAAATTTATGGCTATAAATTCACTATGATATATGGCTCCAGTATGATTTAAAAACAAAAAAGGTAGGCATAAGAAATAATCATAACAATAAAGAATGTATAAATGAAATATACAAACATAGTTACAGTACCTTCAACAGTAACCGTAAAATTACACCTATCATTGAAGTTACCACTTGAATCTGATACATTGTACTGCACTGTTGTGTGACCAATCAGAAACATATTGTCACCTGAGTTGTAGTTTGACTCTGGTTCTGGTGTTTCTCCGGAGTTATCAGTAGCAATCGGTTCTGTCCATGTAACGTTAACAGCAACTGGTTGCCCATTGGTTGTGTTAACTGTTATATCATTTGGACAATCAACAATTATAGGATCTTCTTGATCTTTTGGAGAAAATAAAAACGATTAATTTGATCTAATTTGAAATCACTTAATAGGGAATTATGTTTTCACCCTAAATGACAATTTATAGTACTAAGTGGTCAGTACGTTCCCAATTCCCAAAAGCAAATTCCTACCAGATCAGCTTTGAATGTTAATTTCAATCATAATAATAATAATAATAATTGTCGACATAGCGCATATTGTAGACTAAACTCTATGCGCTTTACATTTTTACCCCCGGTCACTGGATCAAGCACAGGGAACAACATTCATGAATAAACTACTATACAGGGTAAAAAATATCCTCCGCCGGACACCATCCTGGTATTTCTGAGTTGTGGTTTCAGGTTTCAGGGCCATTATACTACTGTAAAATACTCTGGTAGAAAACTACCAAATATTTCACGTTTTCGGGGTACAGTAAAAGGACTATCGTGTACATGCACCGTGGACTGCTCTGATAGCGGATTTTTGTAATAACAATTGGTGGAAAAGCCAATAATAGCGATAGTATTAATAGTAATATAGTTATAAAAATAATATATTTGAAAGAGAATACAATCCGTATTACCTTCAACCTCGACGGTGAAACTGCATGAAGCAGAATTGTTAGACAAATCTGTGGCATTACACTCCACTATCGTGCCACCAATTGGAAAGTTAAAACCAGATTGCGTGGAACATACAGGTAATATTACCTCATCTGAGTTATCTAAGACGTCCACTGTGTAATTGTACTCTGCAAATGGTAGGCCGTCATCAGTCATTACCGTTTTACTTGTTGGACAGGTTATGTTTGGATTTTCCGTATCTACAAAATGTAATGTACATGTAACTGATAAAGTCTTACTACACATTATAAATGTTGCATGTGAATGTAATTAACTATTTACCTGCTTACATTCTCAGATTGATACGATGTGAACAGCAAGAAAAACCCAAGGAAGTCGGAAGACTTACTATATTTATGTAGATTCGGTAAAATATATAGTAATAAAATATAACAAATTTTACCAGAAAGTCTGGGTCAGGTGAAGCTAATATTTTTCGGTGCACCCTCCAATTCGAGACCTTTCAATTCCGAGACCCTTCTAATTCGAGACCACATTTTCAATGAACCAAATAACATTCGTCAATATTCAAATGCAAATATATA